CAGGCCCTGCCAGCACCTGCCCTGACCACTGGGCTGGGCTGGGTGAGGATGGGTGCTGGGCGCTCACCTGCCAGGCCACACCTGCACTGGGTGTCCCCAGGAGCAGCCCTGGGCTCATCCAGCCCCTGCCCTCCTGCCCGCTCCTGCATAATTCATAAATTCATAAATTTGGGACGGTGACCCTCTGCTGCCAGGTGACAGCCACACAAACAGCAAAATGAATCGGGTGCAGTTAAAGGCCGGCAAAGGATGCCTGCAGTGGGAAGCAGAGGGGTGGGAGGGCATTCCTGGCTGGGATGGGGATGGGGATGCACGCTGTGCTCTGGTCCTGCCCCTCTTCCCCACTGGATCTGTCTCCCACCAGCTGAGATTGGGGACTACGACCCGGGGAAGCACCCAGAGGGCTACAGCTCCAAGTTCCAGTTCTTCCCCAAGCACTCGGAGAAGCTGGAGAGGAAAATCGCAGAGATCCACAAGTCAGAGCTGAGGTAGGGGAGCTGCCGGGTCAGCGGCACCCAGAGCACCTCTGTGCCCCTTTGGGATTGTCACTCGTGTGTCACATCCAGCTGGGACCTGCTCCTGCCTCAGCCAGGATGGCCCAGGGGGCTTCGTGGGGGCAGTGAAATTCATGGGGACAGTGAAATTCATGGGGACAGGGACCTTCACAGGGACAGGGACCCCTCATAAACCCTGCTGCCCTCATCCCTCTCCAGGGACATGAGGTGTACAGACCTTTGGCCATCCCCATTATCCCATGGCCCTGCTGGTGCCTCTGCAGCTGTGTCCTGAAGGGTTCCCAGGGAGGGAGGTGCGTTTAACTTCCCAAAAACCCATCAGAGCTGTGTCCTTACATGCCAGGGGCTGGTGCCCTCTGCCACCAAGCTCCCCCCAGTGTTTGTGCTGCAAGCAGGGAATCCTTCCCTACGTTTGGCAGGTGCCTTTTGACCCTTGCCAGGGCTGCCAGCTCAGTGTGGCTGCTGTGGGTGCAGCTGGCAGAGAGGCTGGGCCAGGCTGATCCCATAACAGTGCAGTGGGAGCGTGCTGTGGTGACGCTCCCTCGTTCCCAGAGTGCCTGCCCTGCCTCTCGCCTCCCTGCCTGCCATGGAATGCTCTCTGTTCCCCCTGCAGTGGGCAGACTCCGGCCACTTCGGAGCTGAACTTCCTCAGGAAAGCACAGACTCTGGAGACCTACGGGGTCGACCCACACCCGTGCAAGGTAAAGCAGCTCCTGAACCCGTTCCTGAGCCTGTGCTGGGCTTGGGCTCCTCTCTGTGGCCAGTGATGACCGCTGAGGTGCTGGGCACTGTCCCCAGGGCGTTTGTCACCCACCAGCAGCCCTGGGGCCGTGCTGGGGCCACCAGCCCTGCTCAGCCTCAGCCNTGTTGGCTGGGGTGGGAGGGTGGCACGGGGGCTGCCCTGCCCTGGGGAGCTGCAGCAGGGCCGGGAGCTGCTGCTGTCAGCACAGATCTGTCCTGGAGCTCAGGCTGTGAGCGAGCTCAGCTGCTCCTGGGCCCCTGGGAGAGCCCTGGGCGTGTTTCTGTGGATTATTTTTATCTCTAAATATGAAATTCTCTCGAAGCAGCATTTAGAGCAGTGTCACTGCCCTGGCTGGGGTGGCTGTCTGGGACACTGAGACAGGGAATTCAGACAGTTCCTTTCCGTGGCTCTGATTTTAGCCTTGCCAGGAGCTGGTTTTCAGCAGTGATGAAGGAATTTGGGCTGGCTGGGGTCTGTTTGATGAGCTGGCAGGGCTGGTGGCGCTCTGTCCGTCTGCAACCCCACATTCTTTCCAGGAGCAGAAACGCTCCAAGGCTTTGGGGCCCTGGAGCACTCCCTGCCTGCCACCCACAGGTCTGGGCAGGGGGAATGGCTTGGATTGCGTGTGGAATGGAGCCCGGTGGGAGCTGGGAGCCCTGTGTGTGTGCTGTGCCCATTGGCAGCATCCCCTGGCTGCCCTGGGGAGAGCAAGGGAGGCTTTGGGGTGAGCCATACCTGCAGGGCAAGGGCTGAGCCCTGGGATGTGGGGCAGGGAGGGCAGCTGTAAATTGAATAGAAAGGGATGGGCATGGGGATGGGCATGGGCATGGGGGTGGGCATGGGGGTGGGCAGGCACTGTGTGGGTCAGGGAGCAGCTGCTGCCCTGCAAGGACCCTGCCCTGCCTCTCCCACCACCCTCGCTTTGGGGAGGGGTCACAATGCGCCTCCAGAGCTCCTGGACCTGCTGCCTTTGTCCTGTTTGCCGCCGGAGTGTGGCATTGCCCCTGGTTCCTGTGTGTGTGGCAGGGGATGGGTGATGTCTATGGGGGCTCTGGTGACGGCTGTCCCTTGGGGACACCCCCGGCCCCTCTCCGGG